ATTAAGTACCTATAATAAATTCCAAATTAATCATATCACAATATCCATTAGGTACTTATAACGCGTTATACATCAACAACAAACCCTGATACTATCATAGATAGGTATATAGTAGTATACTATATAAAAGATTCAAGTACCCATGAATAATATTATACTATCACAACAAAATAACTACAATTCTAGGTTTTTTAATATACAATTTCGTCCAAATCTGAACTTAAAATGACTTTAAAAATAAACTGTGCTTATGTATTTTTTAGATTTTTTGGTAACAGAATTAACTACATACGTGGAATCTTGTTTTAAATTTTCAATTCTTAGATATAAAAGTTGAACATTTTATACATTTTTAACTACAAAATAATTATTCAATTCTAAATTTGATAAATTTTGTTAAAATTCCTTCTTTAAATGCTTAAAAAAAATGGTGCCTATGTATTTTTAATATTTTTCAACTGCTATTGTAACAATATATCAGGAGCCTTGTATTAAATGTTTACACATTTTTGGCCCAACAGATAAAACTTTATTGATTATTCATAGAATAAAAAAATTAAAAAAATGAAATGTGAAATTGTCCGTAAACAGTTTAAAACAAGTCAAAATATTTTGAAAATTTTGTCAAGTATAGGAATTGATAAAATAAACATTCAGTGAAATTTTTATGTATCTACAGTCCTTCGTTTTTTAATTACAAAAAAATAAGAAAATCATTACATGAGAAATCGAGTGAATATCAATATCAAATGTTGTAAAAATATGGATTTTAAACTTTTATAAAAATTTAATTTGACTTTCTTGTAGACATTTTTTTGTTGATAAAGGTAAACAAATGTATGAGGAATCTTGTATTACATTTTAAAATCTTAGATTTAAAAAGAAAATTTTTTATGAATTTCTAACTCGAAATAATTTGCAAATTTTTGTCATTTTTACGTATTTTGTCAATATTTGAATTTTAAATGCTTATAAAAAAAATTGTGGCAATGGATTTTTATTTTTTTTCATCTGCCTTTGAAACAATATACTAGGAGCCTTCTATTACATTTTCAAGCTTTTTCCCCCAACAAATAACATTTAATTGATATTTATAGAAAAAAAAAACGAAAAAAAATGGAAACTGAAAATGTCCGTAAATCATTGTAAAATCAATACATTCATCGTTTCACTCGGAATCTAAAATATTGTAACTTGAAAAAAAAATTATTTTCTATCTCAAGTTTAAACTTATCTAGTTGAATTTATTTTTGTTAACTTTTAAATTAACTGCCAAAATTAATTATTTTTATTAACTTGCCCAACTTTGGTAAGTTGCTGCATAAAAAAATAATCATTTAACTTTTTAATTAATTAAAAACTGAATTTTAAAAATTATAAATATCCTACCTACCATAGTACCATTGTTAGAAAATTTGAACCACATTTGAAGCTTGGCATGCATCGTGTCAGTCAATCCAGATAGAATATGCAAATGCTGGAGTTCAGCCTCTCCCCGACATTTCAGACAAATTTAAAAATGATTTAAGTGTCTTGTAAATGAGCGGTCATCTTACAGTTACCTCCACCATCCATTTTCCACCAAACTTTTTTTCGACTAAAATTATGTCCATTTGCATCCGAGATCCAAATATCAAAATATTTAGCTGATATATTAACCGACACCAGTGTTTTTAACACATTATAATGGGAGAGTAACAGTCTATAACATTGTAACGTCCTCAGTTTGATTACTTAAGTATAATAATTAAGATACCTATACATATACGTTATATTATGCAGTAAAATTATCACTTATCACGAATTATTATGATGGTTGTTTTGTTTGCAATACACATACATGTGTGAATCAAACACACGAATGTTAGATATTCTGGGCTATTTCATTTATACAATGTGCAACAACACTATTACAGAATGACCTGACAAATTAAATAACCTTTGGACTATACATACCCTATACCAATGTAATGCATCATGCATGTATTGTTCTGTGCCTTAAATTAGATCTGTTCAAAATCTATTATATTAATCACTATGTGGAGGAGACCTTCTGTACATCGCACGATTAAAGATATTAATCTATGGTTACGAAGGTTAGAATATTATTCTGTGGTAACTGGTAAGATAGTATCTTTATTACTAGTGGTTAAGGTCACGATTAAAGATATACACTATACAGGTTGCACATCGACTACTGATAAGGTGAAATACGAAATGACTACCAATAATTAACCAGTGGCGCTCCAAGCGGCAGTATTACAATTAACTGATTATAGATATATAGGTGTAAAATTAGTTCTAAATGTCGACACATATGGTTGAGTGTTGACATTAAGCGCCACTAGTTAATTATTAACAGCTGATTTTTATAGTCACTTTGTAAATCAGTCTGGAAGCGGTTTACTATAGGGCGATGTGCAACCTGTATATCTTTAATCGTGGTTAAGGTTAACCATTCCGTATTTTCGTTTACGAACTACGAAGTAAATAAAAGATTTAATAAAATCCACAGATACATTTTATTAGATAAAACTACAGAACAATAATAAAATGTTTAATATTATCATTTTTATTTAAATGTACATTTGGCAACATTGGAAACCTTGAATTTTCATTTCTGTTATATCTATAAGTTTTAACAATAATAAAATTATCTCTTAAGTTTGTAAATTTGTATTTACTATTTAGAATTTTGTAATTGTAATCAACTCTAGTTCAACTTATCGAGGAATTATTTCTTATTCGAACCATTTTGTTATTATTTTTATTTATACATTTTACATATGTATTTAAAAGTCTTGTGTTTTCAGTTATTTTTTTTTTTTACAGATTTAAAGCTAAGTATTATCAAATGACTGAATGTGCTCATGAAAGAAAGAACAACATGTTTGGCTCTAGCAGCAAGCTAGATGTCGAATCTACTGGTAAGATTTTTATTTTTATAACTAGGTAGGTACCTACGGGTACCTATAACCTATTATATATATTAACTGATGAAGTAATAAATATTTGCGTTTGAAGCCTAAAATGTCATATGTATGAACCAATCTTACATTAATAAGTATGTATCTACTTAGCTTAATAAATAAATATAGACTGTGTGTGTGTAATATTTGTTTGTATAATTAACACCCACATAAAATAGTAAATAGGTATTATATATTTATACCATTGAAATGAGTAACTTTATTTTTTTCTGTCAAGAATGTATAAATTAATTTCATACACATTTTTTTATTATAGGGAATTTGGCTCACAGTGCTAGTGTTTGTAGTGATATTTCAAATCGTACCAAAATGGATATTGTATGCATCATAGATGTCGTCCAGTCTAGTAATTTGGCACACCGTAAAAGAGCTTTAGAGGAAGTGAAACAAGCATCTATAATTGTTAATGCTAACTTATTTATTGTTTCGGTAATACCTATTGTTATTTATGATTAGTTACTTATACTTACCTTCTTGGAATCATTTATTAACATAACTTTATTTCAACAATGATTTTAGTTTGAAAAATTAGATTTTGGAGAAACCGCGGAGTTGGATACATTTTATAATGCAGATGTAGCCATAGTTGATTTGTCTATACAATTTCAACAAAGTTCGTTGTTTTATCATTTGGGTTTACGTGAGAGTTTTGGAATGAAACAAAACATCATGTTGTATAATGATCTAGATACTGAAGTTACGTTACGACTAAAGGTTTGTAATATTTTTTATACATATTTTAATTAACTTTGTACTTACATTTTTAATTTTTTTTTCTAGTTGTCGTGTGGATCATATACATTTCTTTCATATAAATTATCAGATTGTGGAACTTGTCTCACTACAAATACTTCATTTCAGGACGAAAGTGGTGGATCTACTTTTGAACCTAGAGTACCAGTTACAGTAAAATTAAGAAAGTTGTTAAAAGATGTTGAAATTCAGACCAAGTAT